TGGAACTCACATATGGGGTGCACACTTCCTCATTAACAATTTTATCACTAATGAAGTGTTTGTCAACCTCTATATGCTTAGTTCTATCATGAAGAATTGGGTTGGCTGCAATATTGATAGTAGCCTTGTTTATCACAATACAAAGACATAGGACCATCAGCAGGAAAACCTAGTTCGCTCAACAGATTCAACTTCAGCACTAGACCTAGCCACCACATTTTGTTTATTGCTTCTCCATGTGACTAGGTTTCCTCCCATAAAAGAACAATACCCACTAGTAGACTTTCCGTCATCAATTGATCCAGCCCAATCAGGATCTATATATACTTCAATCTTCAAATGACCATTCTTTTGGTATAACAAACCATCTCCAGGAAACCTCTTTAGGTATCTAAGTAATCTTTCCATTGCCTCTAAGTGTGTGGTTTTAGGATCATGCATGAACTAACTAAGAACACCTACTGCATAAGCAATGTCTGGCATGGTCATGGATAAACACAAGAGCCTTCCCACAAGTCTCTGGAATTGTTTTACATCTTTGACAACTTCACCACAACAGTCACCCAGTCTATGATTTGGATCAATGGGAGATTCAATTGGCTTAACCCCTGGTTTTCCTATATCCTGTAACAAATCTATGATGTATTTTCTCTAAGATTTCTACTAAGAAATAAAGATCCCCTTTTGAGAGCGGGCCACTTCAATTCCAAACAAATATTGAAGGGGACCTAGATCCTTCGCCTCAAATTTAGTGGCTAAGAAATCTTTGTCTCTGAATTTCAGCCTTCCAGTCACCTGTGATCACTATGTCATCAACATACACTATCAAGACTGCAATATTTCATTCCCCTCTTTTCACAAATAAAGTATGGTCAGTCTGACATTGTTTGTAGCCAATCTGCTGTATAGCTAGATAAAACTCGTTGAACCAGGCTCTCGGTGATTGCTTCAAACCATAAAAAGACTTATTTAGTCTACACACTTTCTGCTCTTTTCCTAGGGCAATAAAGCTAGGAAGTTAAACCATGTATACCTCTTCCTCAAGGTCTCCATTCAAAAAGGCGTTTTTAATGTCTAGCTGATGAAGATCCTAATCAATATTTGCCGCAAGGGAAAAAATGACTCTAATGGAGTTCATCTTGGCTACTAGGGCAAAGGTCTCTGCATAATCTACACCATATACATGGGTAAACCCTTTTGCCACCAACCTAGTCTTGTACTTTTCTATTGTGCAATCAGCTTTGTGTTTCATTGTGAACACCCACTTGCACCCTATTGGTTTCTTACCCTCAGGAAGATCCACAAATTCCCACATACCATTTTTACGTAGGGCATTTATTTCTTATTTCGTTACATTTTTCCATTCAGGTATTAAGAGAGCTTTTGCCACATTTTTTGGGATATGGACACTATCAATGGAAGAAATGAAAGCATGAAAGGAGGATGAGATGTTCTCATAGGTAACAAAATGGGTAATAGAATACTTGGTGGTATAAGACCTAACTCCCTTCCTTTTTGTAATAGGAATGTCAAGGTCATCACCAAATAGAATTTCTATGGCAAGAGGATCAGGAACATCAATAGGGATGATAGTACTTGATTGGATATGATCTGTCATCGGTGAATTTGATGATGTTGGCGATACGGTTTCAAGTTATTCCACAACTCTTGAATTTAGCTGGCCCTTGCGACAACAAAAAACACGGAATGGAGGAGGGTCAGACAAAGGAGGAAGAACCTAAACTTGAACTGATTTCTCCTCCACCTTACTCTCCCCTTGAGGAGAAACTGGAAAAAAAGCTCACTTTCAAAGAAAGACACATCCATAGAGACAATACTTATTGGAAACGGGGTCAAAGCATCGATAACCCTTTCGGGAAGAAGGATAACCAAAGAAGACACAAGGAATGGTACAAGGATCAAGTTTTCCACGAGTAGGATAAAGGTTATGGACAAAATAACAACAACCAAACACACGGATAGGAATAGAAAAGAGTGGAGCCTTGGGAAAAAGAAATTGATGGGGGGCCTTGTACCCTAACAAGCGAGATGACATGCGGTTGATGAGATAGGTAGCACAAAATACAACATCCAACCAGTAACGTTTAGGAACATTCATGTGTATAAGTAACGTGCGAGCAATTTCAAGGAGATGATGATTCTTCTTTTCAGCAACACCATTTTGCTGGGGGGTTATAGCGCAAGAGCTACGGTGTATGGATCCACACAGGGCAAAGAACTCCATGAGATCACTATGGGAATATTCTTTGGCATTGTTTGATTGGAAAATTTGGATTTCCGTTTGAAACTGAGTGAATATCGAGCATTGAAAATCTTTAATGATTTTTTGTACTTCATCTCTGTACCACATAGGGTACACCCATGTATATCGAGAGTAAGAATCAATAAGTGTAATGAAATATCTATAGCCATACTCAATTGTTAAAGTAACAGGGCCCCAAATATCATAATACACAATATGGAAAGGAAAATAAAATTTATTATTTCTTGAAGTAAAGTGATTTCTACAATGTTTGCTCAACTGACAAGTTTGACATGTGAAATCCGACACTGATACTGATTTAAATAAATACGGTAACAAAATTTTCAATGACTCAAAAGATAAATGACCCAAACGACTCTGCCATAAAAGGAATTGACTCTTATTGGATTGACTCTTAGATTCAATAGCCACAAGACAAGCTTTATTCTCTAGCATGTAAAGACCATCTACCATACGACCTCTACCAATTGTCTTCCCCGAGGTAAAATCCTGTATCATACAAAATGAAGGAAAAAAGGTTACTAAGCAGTTCAACGAATTTGTTATACTGCTAATAGTGAACAAAATTATGGGCAATTTATGAACATGTAGAACATCAGAGAGGGTGAGTCCAAGAGGAAGGGAGATGGTTCATTGACCAGCTATGGTGGAGAAAGAACCATTAGCAAGTCTCACGTTGTCTCGACTAGATAATAGATGATAAGATTGAAAAACAATTGGATTTACCCGTCTTATGGTTCGAGACTCCATAGTCTATTATCCAAGGGGAGTCTGAGGGATGAGATGACACATGGAAAGCTGTGGCAGAATTACCATTACCTGATGTAGATGCAAAGGAAGTCGAGGGTGGAGAAGCATAATCCATATAGCGGATTGCCCTCCCATACAAGTCTAAATGGTCATGGAAAGAATTAATGATATATTCCCTCAGATCAGTCCAGAAGAACTCATAGTGGTGGTAGATGATTGAGGCTCTTGAGAGGCTAAATTTGCTGCATTAAACTTTGTCTAACCTTGCTGTCCTGGCTTCTTATTCTGATCCAGCTTTTTACTCATTTCTTGAGCCCACTTTGGCTTCCCGTGAAGTTCCCAACATGTCTCCCGAGTATGCCTTGACTTCTGATAGTGTGTACACCATAACTTATCTTTGTCATCACCTTTCTTCTGGAAGTCACTCTTCTTGAAGGAAGTTAAACCACCCGTAGCAACACTCCCTTTAGCTGTTAAAGCCACATGCTCTCCCTCAGGATTATTCATCACATTCCGTCTGCTCTCTTCTGATTGCACTAAAGCATATACTTATTGTACGGATGGGAGGTCTTTACCCCCCAATATCTGAACCCTGATAGATTCATATATAGGATTAAACCTTAGGAGAAAGGTAAACATCTTTGCTATGAAACTGGAGGCTTGTATGCTTTGGCATCTGCATCACACTTCCAGTCTATATTCTGATAGTGATCGAGTTCCTTCCAAATAGAAGTCATGTCTGAATAATAGGCGGAGAGACTCCTCTCCCCTTGTTTACAAGTTGAGGAGGCAGCTTGCAACTGATATATTTTAGCATAATGTCGTTGTTCAGAATACGTAGATTGTGCCTGCTCCCATATCTCATGAGCTATTTCTGCCCACACGAAGATCTTTCTCGCTCGCGGTAGCATAGACAATAACAACCATGACATCACCATGCTGTTTTCCTGGCCCCACCTATCATGTTCCACACCACTAGAATGGGGTTCTCTAATTCTACCATTGATATATCCTGCTTTTCCCTTTGCAGTTATGTAAAGTTTGATTCCCCTTGACCATTATAGGTAATTAAGGCCATCAAAGGGAATCACAGCCATGAGAAAACTCATGTCAAAACCTCCGCTCATCCCACTTTGAGTAGAGGTAAGACCAGACATACCAGAATCTTCTTAAGACATAAAAGCTAAATCTAATCAGTCACAAACCAGCTAGAGAACAAGTTCTTTAATTCAGTTCATACCCACAATACAGTTAAAAACAAGTTGCAAGTCAATTACACTTCTGATCAAGTTTCTACTTAAGCTACACTTTTGGACACAAAAAAAAAAAATTGTTCTCACTCAAGGAAATCACAGCTCCTACATAACCCATACATCTTGGTACAAAAAAGGATCAGTTCGATCCACAAATTGAAGAAGAAAAAAAAACTCAACATTTGATTTTTTTTTGATAGTTTATGGGCTCATGACCAAGAAAAAAGAACAGTCTTGCAATGAGCTTCCTCACACGTCCACCAAAGATCTTGTTCTTTGGTTCGACCACCAATAGACATAAAATGAAAGAAGCACTGCCCTGGTCCTAAGATTGGATCTGTCGCTTTGGTACCATGTTTTCTTGGTGCTCTGATACCTGGTCCTAAGATTGGAAGAGAGAAGAGAAGAAGGAGAAGGGAGATGAGAGAAAAGAGAGACAAAATTGAAAGAGGCCAAAGTAAACAGGCGGCGCTCAAAAGAACCGAATTCGAGCCTTAGTATTGAGCTCGTTTACTAATCGAGTATAATCTGAATACTATGAAATTTGGTTTGTTAAGGCTCGCGAGTGTGAGATTCATATATACATTATATGATTTATATTTTAATTTTATTAGTGTAAACACACTTATACTGTGGTCCCTATTGTATGTTAGCTTTTCTATTACTTTGTTGTAATGGGATGGGAGGGAAAAAACCCTCATTCGATTGAAAGAATTGAGAATTGGTTCCAGGTCATTGCAAAGCTACAAATCACTGAAGCTTTAGGCCTTTAGCTTAGAGTTCAGATGATAAAAGCCCTAGAAAATTCGATTCCAAGTTGTTCAGTTAAGGCAAGCTCTAAATCGATTCCAGCCTTTTAGTCCAGGTCGTTCTTATTCCTTTTCTGATTTCATGTTCATTCTAGCTTTCTTAAGGACTTGGGTTGTTTTTTTTTATTTGGGTTCAAGTCAAGGGAATTCGTTCGGTCAAGCTCCAAATCGACATTGAACTTCTTCTTCTTTCGAGTTTTCTTATGGCTTTTACGGGGGCTTATGTATTGGTTTTGGTTCATCTTACATCCTTGCCATTAATAAGGTATTTAATATTGAAATCAATAATTTTCAGTTCAGGTTCATCCTTGTTGTTAAATGCCCAAAAGTTCCTTTAGGACAAGTGTTTACTTCATATTCTTCTATAAAATTGTTTGTACACAACTTTCTTGGATAAAATCTGGTATCTATTTGGAAATATGGCTTGTGTTCTTGGAGTCCAAAAGATTATAAGAGAAAAGTCAAATATGGAGTCACATAGAGGAATATCTAGGAAAGCCATAATTAAAATGCCATGAAATTCACGGTTTCTTGCCAATAAATCAGGTTCAAAGCTAAAAACAAAGACAATAAATACTTTTTTTTTTTTTTCGAAAGAAATAATAGACAGTAACCTTTCTAGTTGGACCTATAACAGGAAACTTTTGTGAGTCTTTACGTGACATTTGAAACACCAAAGTCCGATATCTCTGAATTCTGAGCAGACTTTTTTGTGATAAAAATTTATTTGTCTGAATAGTTTGCCTCTGAAACTAATTGTATTACCATGTCAAAGTTGTTGCTAGAAGTGCTAATTGTAGTTTCTTCTCTTTGAACATGGATGTAATGGGTAGTCTTGTCTTTTGGAAAGTTTTAAAAGTCAAAATAATAAAGAAATGATTATGTGATAATGTGAACAACTGATGTATGATGAGAGGTGATTCAATCACTTATTAATGAGGGCAAAATTTCATAAACTCATATAACTGGGCCTATCAAAGGTGTAACCTAACGCACTAAAAGAAGTCAGAAATAAGTGGCAATTTTTCAAGACTTTCAATTTCCAAATGCTACCCCCATGGCTGTTTTAAAGCACTCCACTTTATCAAGCTAGCATTTAAGTTATTATAAAATCTTGTTGCTTAAAAATTAAAACCCTTCTAACCAATTCTCTAGCAACAATTAAAACTTGCAAATAATACAAAATCAACAACTCATAAACAAGTTTGATTAGGAAATGGATGAAAGCTTGTCAAATTTATAAGCAAAATGAACAACTTTTATTTATTGGTTTTTCAAGCTGAGGGGTACAATAAACCCACATATATTAGGCTAATACTCCTTCATATTGGGCCAATACTGTTTGGTTTTTATGAACTTATTAAACTTTAATACAATATTAGATATTGAATACTCACATATATTAACCTACAAGAACAAATTCAACACTCAAGTGTGTTATATAGTAATTGGAAAGTAAAATATATTATATTTTAGTGTCTTTCTTTGAGCCAATTCAAAATTCTTTTCAAACGTGAAGTTAAATCCTAGTTCTTATTGTATAATAAATTATTTGGTTCAAACATGGTTAATTCTTGCTGTAGCTTGCCTAAATCTAATAATTGGGAACTAAACTATTCATTTCTGAAAATTCTATTATAATTGCATTTTTATTTGATTTGAAATGAATATAGTTCCATGAATTGTGTTTCTAAATGCCTTTTCTATTTGATTTCAAATGCTTTATTATGGAATTTTGAGGAAAGAAGTAGCTTATCTATGAAAAAATATATTTAATTTTGGTTGTTTGATTTTTTTTAGAATGTTGAAATATCCTTAAAAGAATTGAACTCAAAACTTAAATGTCAAATATATTTATCAAAAACAAAAACTTATATGTCAAGTTAAAACCGATGTGTTTCTATGTTGTTGGATGGCCCATTTTTATCAAAACGAATTAATTCTTATTAGAGAAATTTTCATAACAAGGTTTCCTTTTGTGTAGGAATGCCATCATCCCCTATCCATGATCACAATATATTATTAACAAATATTCCCTCTACCTCGATAAGGCCCTCACTCTCTCATTCTATGTTTGGTTCTTCTCCTATCATCATGGTTGACATTACCGATGACTCTTCTCAAAATGAGGCCAGTCAAACAACAAATAATGCAAGCAATCCTATTGCCACTCCTTAGATGGTACTTTGACTGGATCTCAATGTCCTGTTGAAGAAGATGGTCCAATACCAAAGTCAAAAAGACAAAAAACAAAAAGCTTCACCTATGAGGCTAGAATTCACAAAACTTGAACTTACTGATGGCCCAATGTGTCTATTGCAAGGCTAAATTATTTATACAATCTACAAGTGTGACAAGTCACTTTAGTTGACATTTGAAATCATGTATACCAAGAAAAGTGGCTAAGAATGCTAAGAAACAGGGTAAGCAGCAAATGACTTTGAATTTCCAACCAATAGATTCAAATGTTGATGTGGATATTGTGGGTCCTCCTTTTTTAGATCCTAGTGTTGTTGGAAAGTGTGATCATTCCAAAATGAGGGAATCGGTTGCTCATTGGGTGATTATGCATGAGCCATCCATTTACTATAGTAAAAGAGGAAGGTTTTAACTTCATGATGAAGATGTGTAATCATTCTTTTGACAAAATCTTTCAGAAGACAGTAAAAAATGATTGCATGACTGTGTATGAGGACCAAAAAAAGAAGTTGAAGAATCTTTTAAAGGGTATTTCCAAAATTAGTATAACCATTAACCTTTGTAAGTCACAAAACCAAAGGATAGAATATATGGTGCTAACTGGTCACTTTTTATATGCCAATTGGAGGTTACAGAAGCATGTTCTCAGCTTTGTCCATGTTCTTTCGCCTCATAATGGGGTTGATATAACAAATGCAATCTGTAAATGTTTGAAGGAGTGGGGCATTGAGAATAAGGTGTTTACAATTTCAGTGGATAAATCATATAATGATTCATGCTTAAGGTTTTTGAGAGATATATTTTCTAGAAATAGTAAGTTACTTTGTGATGGAAAGTTATTTAATGTCCGATGTTGTGCACATATTCTAAATTTGTTGGTTCAATACGGTCATGATGAGATTAGTTTCATCATAGAAAATGTGCGTGAGAGTGTGAAGTACATTAACCAATATGAGTCTAGGAAACAAACTTTTTCTAAAATTGTTCAACAATTACAACTTGGTGCAAAGAAGTTAGTTATTGATTGCCCCACCCGTTGGAATTCAACTTTTGAGATGTTGTGCTTTGAAATTTCAAGATGTGTTTCCAAGGTTTCAAAAAAGGGAGCCAAACTATGATTACTTGCCAACTCTTAAAGATTAGGGAGAAGGTGGAGAAAGTGTGTGAGGTAGTTAAAGTTTTCAAAGTAGTTACTAATTAACATTATTTCTGGAAGTGACTACCCTATTTCTAATTTGTACCATAGAAAGATCTACAGGGTGAAGGTAATTGTGAATTTGAAGTCAATGGATGAAAATGATTTCATTTGATGAGTGGTTGGGAAAATGAAGAGGAAATTTGATAAGTATTGTGGTGAATGCAAATTGAGATTGGTTGAAATGTGTTTTCCAGAAATATATTTAGAAGACGAAGCTAGAAAGAACCTTGATAAGGTTCGAGGTGCCTTGTACCAACTTTATGATAAGAATGTGGCTACTTATAATGCCTCTAGTAGTGAGCAATCCTTTACTAAAGGGGATGGTAGTCACAAATCTCTTGTAAGTTATAGTTCCAATCTTAATAATCAAGTTTTGGATGGTCAAAATTGATTAGTTATGTGAAGAGAATTGATGCCATTCCCTCACCAAAATCAAAGTTAGATATGTATCTTGAGGATGGTGTATATATTTGCAAGGAAGAAAGGTCACATTATGAGTTCAATAGTTTGGAGTGGTGGTAGGTTAATAATTTAAAATATCGAGTATTGTCAAAGATGGCAGAGGAGATTCTTTTCATTCCAATATCCATAGTAGCTTTAGAAACTACATTTAATGCTGGTGGTAAGGTAATTGATCCTTATTGTGCATCTTTAGCTCCAAAAACTGTTCAATGATTTGTGGAGGGGATTTGATTCATGTCCTCCATGAGGTGAAGAAGAAACAAAAGGTATACTACATTTAATTTTTGCTTATTATTGCTTAGTGGTACTTCATTTATACTTTCTTTTATTTATCACTAATTTAATTTTTTTTTGTCCTTCTGTAGGTGGACAAAAAAACAAATTAAGATAATTCTACCCATTTGTGGATAGTGGCTTGCAAGCTTTAAAGCCAGAAGTGTGCATATAGGTAATCCTTTTTTCATGGAAATGCTGCATTGTTTCTTGGTTACTCATCATCTTAATAAGATAGTTTGGATTTATTGTAGCTTAATGAATTCTGTTTACCAAAGGACAACATGTCTTAATCAGATTTCCTCTTTATTTTTCTTTATTCCTTAAACCTGAAATGCAAACTTTCCCAAATTTATAATAAATTTGACAAGGTTTCAGCCATAGACAAGGAGTTTATTAGTGTATTATTAAATCCTAATTAAACTACTTGTGATGCTTTATGATATTGTATTGAACTATTGGTTAGCAGAATATTCTTCTATTAGTTTTTGTTTTTATGTTTTTCTTAATTTCTTAGTTCAATTAATGATTAAATGCCAATTGCTTATTTTCTTTACTAACTGTTCTGATATGTATATATATAATATATTAGGAGAAGAAACAAAACCCAAGATCACTATTAAATCCATTTAAGACAACAGAGATCTATCTTGTACTAAACATCATGTGAGTATTATGTTGTTTGTACTTAAAATCTAAGCCTTCAATGTCCCTTTGTTAGATCTTGTTAGAGATTTATTTAATATGTGTTGCTACAAATTATTGTTGCAGAACTAGGAATTGGAGTAGCAACATCCATTTGGCAATCTGTTGGAGACCTAGTTGTCTTGTCAATCTCAATTCTTGTAGGAGGGCTTGCCCTTCAACTCTTAGAGAATCACCCGAAATTTATTGCCACAAAGCCCACAACCTTCCTTTTGCCATCTCTTATCACTCCACCTATGCTAGAAGGAAACAAAAATTATTAGTTTTGATCTAGCAAAGGGAATTTATTATTTGAAGCATTTTTGAAACTATTTGCTAATAACATGATGTTAAAGAATATTAATATGGTACTTATCTTTGTTGAATTCTGTTGGTATTATATTTTTTTTGTCAAATTTATTTCTTTAGTTTTTTTATTGAGATGCATATTGTTGTGCAAAAGACCCGTTTTTTTTTAAACACATGCTTGTTTCATTTTGTTGTCATTTGCCAAGACGGTAGGCTGTCATGATCTTGTCAAATAGTGTTGAAACTTGCAGACCCACCACTGACTTTGCATTCTCTTTGTAAATAGGAAAGACTATCCCATTCTTGTTTATCTTTGATTGACATGCAGAAGGGAAGACAAAGTTGTAAGTAATAGAGGATGTTCTTATTGGATAAAGGTGGAAAGTTGGGTGTTTTGTAGGGACTAGTAGAAGCTGATTTTGGAGCTGTAGAGGAAGCCTTACTTTTGCTATTCTAAAGGAATGGAAGTAATTTTTTTTCTTGATGCAAAGAATGTTTTGGAAGTTGTCCAAGGGAAAGAGGATTTGTGCATTTGTCATTTTTGTGATTGTGGATAAAATTTGACAGTTATATAAATTTTTTTGTCTCTTTATTTATAAACAAGAATTTTATTAAGCCAACTCTGTATCTATAAACAACTTTTATTACAATGCTTCAACCATCTTTTAAGTTTAATCTAAAAAAAGTTGCAGGATTTATCTTTGTGTATATGCATGTTTGCTTGGAGGAGGCCCATAATGTGTTGGGTCTAAACTTAGAATAGCTAACTATGATAGTAGTGTCTCTAAATGTTTTGGGCAAATTTCTTAAACTACCCCTACTGTTTAGTTAATTGACAAACTGTACCCTTAATTGTTTAACTATTGTCTCAAACCACCCCTACTGTTTTTGACAATTGACTAGCTCTACCCCTGTCTTAGCGTCTGTTAATATTCTGTCAAAATCTGTACACATGGCAGAAGCTGAAGCTAGTTAATTACCATTCCCTTGATTATATTTTATTTTTAATTATTTATCTACTAAAATATAGAGAAGAGGGGTAGTTTTGCCTTTTTATTCCTCTTTATATATTATTGGGCATGTATACTAGTGTGTAGCCTTATACAATTCAATAGTTTATTTCTTCTTGTAAGGACAATCTCGTCCTTTCATTATTTAATATAAATATATCTTTCTTGGGTTGGATCTTGTTTGATTGACTAACCAAACGATCATTCTCTTGTGGTTTATCTATCTTCTCTATTTTCTCTCACCTGAACTATCATGTTATTAGAGCAAGTTGCTATTTGATCCATCTTTTCTTAGTCAAAAATTAGAATCTATCCTTCCCTTTGTTTTGAGATTGGTCTTGGAGCTGTTTTGGTCAACCCTAAAATCAATCTATTATGCTCAATGTGCTTAACAAGGAAATTTTAATTAGATCTCTCTTGGGAGATATCATATCATGGCAAAAATGCATAGGGAGTGTACCTTGTTCGGTTCTACATTCTATGATAGCCATATCAGTTTGCATCGAGTGTAGAGGAAGTTCTGATCTTCTCTCTTGGACAACAAGTTTCTCTTTCCTTTTTTGGTTGTATTCCTATTACTTACTTCCTTATATGTTCGAACAGATTTGTAAGAGGCTCTCTTTTAGCTCTTTTCAACATTATTTCTTGTTCTTGGTGTTTGTACTACTTGTTTTATTGTCTCTACCTATTTTTTTTTTAAATTAATCATGGGATTTGAGAAAGTTTGAAATCATTATAGTCAAGTTTGATGGCAACAACTATGCACTTTGGAAGTTTCATTTTTAGTACTTTGTTGAAGGGAAAGGGATCTAGGCTATATTGATGGCTTTATAGCCATGCTAGATGATGGTGATGCAAAGGGGCTGAAGCAGTGGAAGATTGAAAATGCTTAACTTGTCTCCTGGATTCTAGGTTCTGTTACTATTGATGTTGCCATTCCGATGAGGGGACTTAAGACTGCACATGGCATGTTTGAGTATCTTGAGAAGGTTTATCAATATTCCAATATGTCCAGACAATATCAGATAAATCCGAACATATTTTCTTATACTTAGGTGGAAGAAATGAATCCAAGAGAACTATGCTGACTTTGTGAATCTTTGGACTAAATATAAGTTGGTTCATTTGAGAAACTTATCTACTAATCGTTGTGTGAAAGTAATGAAAAGTATGGTCAAACATACTTAGTAGGGAAATTATACCAGACTTATATATGAACCTTGGGGAGTCATTAAGAGAGAAAGCTCGACTCCTTATTCAATCCTCTCTTAATAATAAGGAAGAACACGCCATAGATGCAATTTTTTCTAGCTACAAAACAAAAGGGGAAGGGTTTTTTTTGAAGAATCAATGTTATGAGTACAAGGATTTTGGACATATAGCACCACACTATAAGAGCTTTTGCACTTATTGCAAACAAGGACATATTATTGTTGAATGTACGATTAGGTCCCCTAAGAAAGGACAACATAAAGCTTTTTAGGCTTCGGCTGAACCATTTGATGCTTCTTCCTCCACTTTAGCTCCCAAGATAGATTCTCAGGGTTCACTAATTGAAGATAAGATTCACCAACTCATGTCTTTGACTATTTTCCCTACTTTTTTTTTCTACTATTGGTATGATTGGTAAGTTTTCTTATTTATGTTATTACCCATTTCACATGTGGATAATTGACTCTGGAGCCTTAAATCACATGGTTGGGGGCTTCCTTTGGCTAGTTTCCTAAACCTTACATCTCTGATAACCACATTATTATAGCTAATAGCAAAGCTCTTCCTATTCATGGTTGCAATGATTTGTTTCTATCACTTCCTAGTCTACTCATTTTTTTATTCCCAAAACTCTTTGCATAAGTTGACTATAAATTTAATTTCTACTGGAACTTGATGATGGTAATAATGTCCTTTTTTCTTATGATGACTGCTTAATCCAGGATCAACACACTACGAACCTAATGGGGAAAGGATGTAGGCTTGGAAGGTTATTTGCTTTGGAATTTGAGGACAAGAGTTCTTCATCGGTTTCTTGTTCGTTGTCTACTACTTCTAGTTTTTCCTCTGCTTCTTGTAATTATGTGTGGCACTTATGGCATATATGTTACACTTATGATAAAAAATTGGATTGTATGTTTTCTTCTGGTTATTTGACTCTTACTAATTCTTCATTTAAGAATGTTGATAAATCCTATTTGACTTATTATAGTAAAAGTCATATTTTGTCTTTTTCATCCTCTTTTGAGCATGCCCCCTACTCTTCAATGGAAACTCCAAGTGCTATCTTATATGTGTATTTAGGTAATTGCCCCCACTCAAATAAAATAATAGCATGTCAATTAAAATTTGGTTTCTTAAATGGGGTCATTTTTCTATAAATGAATATGTAAGAAATAAAGAAAAAAATATACAAGAATGATACCTATGTTCATATTCCATGTTGACCAAGAGGTTTGGGATTTAGGGTTTTAACTCTATGTTTTGTTGTCCTTTTTTTCCATCCTTAACAATTCAATCTCATCACTCTATTTTGCTCATCTAAAGGTTCAAATTATTGATATGTATTGTATCGATAAAGGTGTAAAATGGCCCATGGGCCGTCCCAGGCTATGTCACATTCCCCTGGGATAACTTGGGGGGTCGGCCTGACATGGACCATGGCCCAAGCCCGTGTGGGCCCGTGCCGTGTCGCGGGCCAGGCCGGGTTGTGGGCCGGGCCAAAGCTACTTGTTTAAAAAAAATGAAAAGAAAAAAAAATTATATGAAATTTGATGTATACAATTGGTTATATTAACAATAATTAAATAAATTAGTATAATAAAATTGAAACAATTGTTTATTTTATTAATATATTATATACTATATATGATTATATAATTATAATGTATATAATATAATATGAAAATATATATTATATACAAGTAATATATATGGGCCATGTTGGGCTGTGTCGCGAGTCGCAAGTAGCATGGCCCACTGACCAAAAACTCCAGGCCTAGCATTACCCACATGATCGTGTCGGGTCGGGTCGTGCTGGGCCACGAGCGGCATGGCCCGATTTACACCTCTATGTATCGGTGACCTCCTGATGCACCCCTATAGTGGGTGTTTCGGGGTTTGACTTGGTTCAAGGAGTATACGGGCCTTAAACCGACCCCTCTAAAGTAGGTTAAAATAGCTAAAAAAATGAAAGCATGGGTCGATAGAGGCTGATATGCTCCAACTGGCATATCAGCTTGTATTGGTATTTTGAACTCTACTATTCAAACCTAGCAATTTTCCTCGTCCCCATTGGGTATCCATCCTCCCTACTGGATACCCTACCCCCACTGATCAAAGGTCATGGATCCACCACTGTGTGTAGCCCTACCTTGTAAATGCTAGAAAGCCATTGAATAAAAGCCCTTCCAAATAAGCACTCAAGCTAAAATCAAATACTAATCAATATTGTTCATGCATAACACAAGGGAAAAGCCTTTGCACCAATTTAGGGTTTTTTTGGGAAAGTTTAAGCTTTGAATTGTTTGTTTTCATGGGTGACCATGGACTGGCTGGTCACACTGGTGGTACTTCTTGTTGAATTAAAAGATTGGATTAGTCTTCCTGTACCCACCCGCCACCCTTGAAGGAAGGGGTTTTAGTCCTATTATTTTGTTAAGTTTTGCCTTTCAAATTAAACAACCAATTGAAGTCAATGAGAAGCTTGGTTGTTCCGTCTAAGTCTACAAGCTGGGCTTCTGCATAGGCTATGGAGTCCGATGGTAAGAAGTTTGCGGAAGCGAGGCACATTGCCGGGAACTCTATTTCTACCAATTTGGTTTGGCATTCTAAGGCCCCATAGGCTTGATTCGGTTCCATCCTATACCTTCTATCCTACGTCTTATCACTCGAAATTGCATTTTATCCAAGCTTCACACCCATGACTAGGGCATGCCTAAGCCTAACCTTGTATGGAAAAAGCTTTGGGCCTATGTCATTATAAATCCACAATTATCACATTTGTGGTGTTTATAATATCTACCAATGTTTTAAAAATTGACTTAGAGGCTGAATTGTTTTCCCTCTACGTAGTAGGCCAGTGGTTCAACCATATTAGTTTAACAAGGTATGCACACATATACATACATATTAACTCTTATATTCTCTTATTAAACCCTATATTTAAGTTATTTTCACTAATAAATTCTACTAATTAGATCAATGTAAATATTTGTAATAATATAGATCCATATATTTTAAAACTAACTTAGAAACAAAATGATTATTTATCAAAGTAGTGATGGTAAGCAATTCAACCATCTGAATCAAATTGATCTACTTATGAAGTTATAATTAGGTAATAACTTTTTAAAATAAAAATAAATATAAAAATTTACAAAAGTATAGAAAAATAAAACACATTTATGACATTTTTATCAATCAAAATAAAGAATAAGTGTTATAAACAATAAATTTTGTTGTTGATAGTTAAAATGAAATATGTAATTTAGAACTAACAAAAAATTAAATTATTTTACTATTTGGCAATGATCGATAGTTCAACTTTTGGGTCAAATGTGTTAGCATTTAATACAATAATTATATAATAAAAATTAATAGAATATAAAAATGAAAAAACACAAATTTTGCAAAAAAAATAAAGCGTACGTATAATATCATATTAAACAAAAAGTAAGTGTGACATGTCATAATTATTTTTACACACAGAAACACAACAAAAACTTATAGAAAAAAAAATTAACACATCAATATTTAATTGTGAGGTTTAAATTATAAATTGAACTACTACTTTTCACCAATTCAATTATCTTTGTTTAAATATTACATTTATTTGATAAATGAACATAAAGATGATACACCAAACAGATAAAACATTAAAAAAAAAAGAATTTAGCCAAGTAGGTAGGCCTACTAATAATACTTGAAACTTAACAACTCGATCTAATTATCACATATTTTGATGAGATGTTTATATAATCATATTTGGATTTTTCAATATGCATCCAATTAATAATAAAAAATAAAAAAATACATATTTATATAATTTTTTAGATGTATTATTATTATTATAATTATCATTATCATCATCTATAATTGCCATGTGCACGCTTACTATTATACACGCACATCATTTTTTAAAGTGTGAACTAGAGTATATAACTTTTGTTAACTAAAATACCATCATTTTTTAAATTGGGTAAATTGTAAATTAGTGCCCTATGCTTTGGGCCTAGTCTCAATTTGGTACTCGACTTTTAAAACGTACAAACCCAATACTTAAACTTCCAAAAAGTTTTGGTATAATACAAAATTGTTAACCGATGTTAAATGGGATGTAAAATGATGCAAAAGCCATTTGAGTTTTCAATATGTGAAAGAAACTAAATTTCAAAATGGCAAAATAACACTAGTTATAATACCTCACTTTGTTGGGTGACACTATTCATCACTTTGTGCCCTTACAGACAGATGAAGAACCAGTTCTTCTGTCGATGCTACTATGTGGAAAATGATGCCAAAAAATATGTTCATATAACATCTCGTACATAATTTGCTTATTTATTTCATTTTTGCAATAAAAAAGAATGTGATGTTATTGCTATCGTACATGGTTTTAGTGTTATCATTGTCAAATGGGACAATTGATTATTATTGGCATCGTGGAAGATAATCAAGGTACAAAAAAAAATGTTTGTTTTCTTTTTTATACAAAATTTTCTCATTTTATTATGTACTTATACATTATTCCATTCCATGTTTTTTGTTTGTTGTATATTGTCCCTTCTCGTTCCAGGGAGTTGATGTCAGGAGTCTGGTTATTTAATGTCACTTGTGATCCTTTTATATGATTTGTTAATTTTGATGCAATTTTCAATGTTTATGATTGTATTTCAATTAGGGTTTATTGTGACAATTGAGCGGTATATGTAATGTTTAGTTTTATGATCCGTTGCTATATATGTGTTTGAATGAGTTAAACAACTAATTTTTAATGGGATGCCTTTGTATCTGCACTGTTAGGTTGGTTTCAGTATGGACTGTCATTATTCACCATGATCCCATACAATGTCCTCCACCTCGTGTGTCATAAATTGTTTTATGTGTACAAAGGAGGAAGACAGAAAGTAATTGTTATTGGATAGTGTATGACCTTAGCTTGATGTACTTATTGTCATTTATTATAAAAGAATAAAGTGCATAATTGATTCGTGTTATTATGGTGTGTTTCTATGTAATACCCTTAGACTGAACACTTATGAGACTCGTATTAGTTTAGAATCTTCATAGCCATCGGATAGATATAGGGAGATTTATCTTGTCAATGATGACATTGATGTGCCGCCAAGTTGGTGGGGGTGGATTGTCTCAGCTGCCAGGGTGAGACCTGAGGTACATGCAATGTGGATTTTCTTGAAATCCTGAACCGGACCAAATTCCAGTATTGTCATAGACCTCGGAGATAGATGGACAAAACTGGAATGCTACAGCTGACCTCTAAACTCGATTATGGTATTGCAGTAGGTGTCAAATTGGGTTGTCTTTGATATGCCAATCAGTGAGATCCTTAGAGGGTAGTCAAAACCTGGGTATATTGGGGCAGCAATAAATTTATCTAAGTGGATGATCATAGTGATAGGATTAGCCCATTTGTCGGACAAAGTAAATGATCGGGAAATGCATTATCTTTGATGGAAACCTAAACTACCGGTATTGGATTTCAAATTTGTTTTGCAAAATATATATATATATATATATATATATATATTATGATTTCAAATTGTTTGCAAATGATTTTAATTCATGGGATCCATCTGAGTAGAGAGTGCAGCATTGTACCTTGCAGCCGAGGCTGATAAGTTAAGTATAGGACCATTGAGGATAATACTTGATGGGATAATCTTGTATCTACCCACAGTCTTTGGATTTTCATAAGGTGGCTAGACTCAATGACCATTTAGTGTAAATGTTGGGCCCATTAAGAGCCCATGGTGATGAACTCAGGGGTTCACTATGTCCTATAGTGAATTTGCCAAGCCTTGTAACAGAGGCTGGGCTGAACCCATGTGGCCGATGTATAGATCAATGTTCGGGTCCCACGCCATACAAAGAGAGCCAAGTTAGCCAGTAGATTAAATGGTAAGTGACCTATGTGAATGTTTAATGGGATTTGAACTGTGCTCAAGCTAGTTAATTAAAATGGGGCAAAATCTGATTTATAATCTGGTTAGGATTAGTTGAAAGATAAGATAAGTTTTATCCATTTAAGAGTCCAGATCCAAATATTAGATTTGGATCAAGAAACTCTCTCCTAATTGGATTATGAACTGATCAAAATAAGGCTATAAATAAGGGGCAAATTCTCCAATTAAAAGTGACTCTCGTACACTCAGCAACTTGCAGAATTCTCCCCAATTCTTGTTGCCCCTACCCAGTTTGATTTCCACCGGTGAAACTGATTAAGAAAGATTTTTATATTGTTTCTTACTAGAATAAGCAATCTGAAGTCGTTCTCACCAGCCCTTGTTCAATTCTTACTGAATAATTATGGTTCTTGCTGAATAACCATTATGTTGATCATGTTTCATCATATACTGTGTCATCTTCAGTGGATGTGGGTTTTGATATTCTCCTTAGGCGTGAACACCTACCTTGAGAGTTACTGTTAGTTCGTCTCAGGTATATCCATTCCCTTTTGGTTTCAAATCTGGTCCAGTTTTGATTCAAGAGCGATCATTGAAAATGCAATTTTCTAAATTAGGGAATATGATTTCCGGATGGGAGATAAATAAAATTTTGAAATTTCACCCAACCTTCTTGCAGGGTTCGGCCATCCATATGATGGACCTCCCATCCCTTCAATTGTACCATTAATGTAAAGTAAGTCCCCGCCCAATTATCCATTTGTTAATTTATGTGAATGACAAAAAGAGATAATCCTCCTAATCTTATTTTGTGTGTGTTTTCAACTTTTTTTTTGTTAGCATATGAAGATTATAGCCTTGTTAAGAGTGTCAGGTGAATGGAAACCTGGCAAAATAACCAACATGAAATTAAGCACATAGGTTCCAAAGTCAATTACAAGTTAAACTTTTCGAGCGCTCTTTATATACAACATTAAGCAGTGTTTAGAAAATTGTAGGCCAGGTTGAATTGTAACCCAGGACCTTGGCCGGTTTAATTATGCCCTAATAAATGTTTTTGTTAAAAGACTAGTGAAAGTCGATTAACCATCTGTTTTAACCAAAAACCCAATGAACCAATCATAGTTTCATGAAATTGCCCTGGTCCTTAACTAATACTTAGCATGATTCAAACCCATGACTTCTTATTTTCATACATTGCTTAAGTACCATTAGTCCACTTTTTAACTCATGTTAATTAATGACCATTTATTGTACATATTACTTTATTATGCATGTATTTTAAAGAAAATGTAAATTAAGAAACTTGAGCTATAATAATTTATTTTAAAAATTGAGGAAATTGTCATCAATGCACCATATTAAAGTTGTAAAACATATTATATATAATATTTATATGACCTCTAGTGTGTATATGTACATATACATACATACATATATATATATGCCACATCATCACAATTTGACCCTAGTTAAACCCATATCCTGTGAACTTCTCCCCTCTCTAGTTATATTCCCGATTCAATTCTCTAAACATTGACATTGAACTACTGTTAGTTATCCCCATGTGCCATTGAACTGGAATAACACAATTAATGTTAAGCAATACCGTATGTTATTGAACGGGTACAACATGATTAATGTTAGCCAACCCCATATGCCATTGAACTAGTTTAACATTATTGATATTAGCATTCACATATGCCATTGAATTGGTGTAATAGGATTCGTGTTAGGTAATCCCATATGCCATTGATTTGGTATAACAATATTCATGTTATGCATCTCCATGTGCCATTGAATTGGAATAACATTATTTGGTTTAAGATATTCATGTTAACATCCCTATATGTCATTTAATTGATTTTAACATGATTCATATTAGCATCACCATGAGCCAATGAACTGATATAATATGATTCATGTTAGGCAACCCCATATGTCATTGATTTGGTATAACAGAATTCATGTTAGGCACTCTTATATGTTGGCCCTTTAATGGGTTTGGGTTTATTTGTTAGGATTAAACTAGTATAACAACATTTAAATTGGGCCCTTAATAGGCTTGTTTTAATTGTTTCCATTGATGGTACTTACTTAAGGGCTTAGGGGTTGTGTTTGGTTTGAAGAAAATCGTAGGGGAAGGTAGGGAAGGAAGGGAAAGATAAGGAAGCATCCCCAAATCTTGTATATGTTTACTTCTTTCCATTCATTTCCCTACATTTTTTCCTTTTATATGTTTCATTATCTTTACATTTCTTTCCATACACTTTCCTTCAAACCAAACACAATCTCAATAGAATGGGGCACACACACACACCAAGCGGGCAAATATGGCTTTTCCATTTTGTCATTGATTTATTAGTTGTTTTAGTTAATGTATACTGTTGTATATTGGGTTTATATTTACATACTCTTTGTATATTATTGAATGAAAAAGTTCCCATTTTAGATATTTACTATTTTTATACACCATGGTGGCACCATCGTTGATTTACCATCACAAATTTACTGCGGTAGTGATGTTGCCACGTGCAATAATGTTGATGGGGACCTACTATCATACATCTAAATAGAAAGCATAGTGAAAAGATCAGGGTACAAAGGTTAGTGCCAAGTTTGTTATAGAAATTTATTGTATGATTTCAACGATGAATTGGTAATGGTGAATAATGACCAAGATGTGTTATTTATGTTTGCAACACCTGAAGTCAATGTTCATATAAACATGTATGTTGTTCATGAAATGGGGAATGAAGCCCTTTAACACTCGTGAGTCCAGCTCATCAAGGCATATGAGGGAGAAGATGCAGGATATGTTGACATTAGTGATGACAACGTTGATTGCAGAGGTGATAGTAGTGATGATATGGATTATGTTATTAGTGGTGATTATGAAGATAACGAGTAGCCCACATCACTATTTGATGAGTTGACTGATACACTTAGTGGTTGTGAGATAGAAGATTATTGTAGTATTTGAGGGCAAACATGCATGCTTGCTCCTCCCAATGAAAATACAACATGATCATGGTGAGGCACAATGTGATAATAGTGTTTTGCATTTTTAGCACAATGAAACAATAAATGGCGGGGGTGGTTCAAGATGGGTCTAATGTAGTTGGACCAAAATTGTTGGATAACTATTAGCAACTAGAAGATTTATATGGTCCACATGGCTTGGATGATGAGCGATGAGCACACTTTGAGATTTTTATATCCAGGGACAGCCCAATTTATTTGTGGGGAAGACATTTGCCAATCTGCAAGGAAAAAGTTACGGCAATTTGCATCTTGGGTGCATAATAGGGAGTAAATTCAAATTAAAAGTTTTAGAAATATGTGTGAATGTGCTCGAGTTAAAGAATTACAATATAACATCTGCAAGGCTTATCAAAAAGTACAAGAGCAAATTCATTAATGATCCAACTTGGAAGGTCCTTGCACTACACATTGAGACTCACAAAGGGTTTAGAGGTGATATTAACATGACTATGACTTATAAGGCCAAAAGGAAGGCAAGAAGATTAAGGGATCATTGTCTCTGGATTTATATGCTCAACACCTTATTTTTCATTATGTAATATTATTATTCTTATTTATTGTCAATTGATCTCATTTCCACCTTTGTAGGTGCTAAGAGAAAACTCTATGAGAAAGTAAGAAGTAAAACACATATACTACTTAATGAACGAAAGTTAATACCCACTCTCTAGATTTTTATTTATTTTTTGTATTATTGATAATTATTGATTAGAATAATTATTATATAATCAATTATTCTTCTACGCTGCAATAATCTTTGTATATTAGGGTTATTAAAAAGATATAAATTTTTATAATATGACCTTTCTTCTTGATTTTATTTCAAAAAATTATTTTTCATATTAATAAATTTTACTATTATATACACGTGGTACGCACGTGAACTTCTAATAGTGTGTCGAAAAAAACGAACGGACCAGATGTATTTGTCCTATTGTCAAAAAAAATTGTACCTTATAAATTTGGAAACAATAGAGTCATAATCATACATAAACGGTCAATTTCATAAAACCTCGGGGTAGTTTAAGTGTTTTGCTTTATTATAACTATTTATTTATTGTTTTCTTTATATGAGGCTAATAATCCGTCTCTTTCTCAAACTGATTAACCTCTCAAGCCTCAACCTGGTGAAGGCGGGATTCGAACCCTAGTCTTCCTAGAGACCTTTCCAACTGAGCTAATCGGTACTTACTACCTTCAGCTTCAGGATAGGACGATGGATATGAGGTCTCGAGCCCTCTTTTTATCCACTCTCTTGTCATCTCCTCCTCCTCCTCCTCCCAGTCTCTCTCTCACTCCCCCCTTCTCCCTCCCAAATCTCGACTGGTAGTAGAATTAAAGCTTGCTTCCATGGCAATTGCAGCCACAGCTACCGCAGCAACCACTGCAGCAGCAACAGCAGCTTCAACAAAGTTCCACTTCACACCCTCTTCTCCTTCTACTACTTCCCGTGTTTCAGTCTTCAATGGCGCTCTCCGTACCATTAAAGCAGCTCCTCTCCTCTCCTCCTCCTTCACTAACCCCTCCAGCATCTTCTGGTGGACCGCCATCGCCACCACCACCACATCACCGGAGACGACGAGGCGTAACCACCGCTCCCTGACCGTCCGAGCCGCTAGAGGGAAGTTCGAACGTAAGAAGCCTCATGTCAACATTGGAACCATAGGGCATGTCGACCATGGCAAGACCACCCTCACGGCTGCCCTAACCATGGCCTTGGCCGCCGTCGGTAACAGCGCTCCCAAGAAATACGACGAAATCGACGCTGCTCCTGAAGAGAGGGCCAGAGGTATTACCATTAACACTGCTCACGTCGAGTACGAGACTGAGAAACGCCACTACGCCCACGTCGACTGCCCCGGTCACGCCGATTATGTGAAGAATATGATTACTGGTGCTGCTCAGATGGACGGCGCCATCCTTGTCGTCTCTGGTGCCGATGGTCCGATGCCTCAGACCAAAGAGCATATCCTTCTCGCCAAGCAGGTCGGTGTCCCCAACATGGTTGTCTTTCTTAACAAGCAGGACCAGGTCGACGACGAGGAACTTCTCCAGCTCGTCGAATTGGAAGTCCGGGAGCTCTTATCGTCTTATGAGTTCCCAGGCGACGACATTCCAATTATCTCCGGCTCTGCTCTACTGGCCCTTGAAGCCCTAATGGCTAATCCAAGCATCAAGAGAGGGGAGAATCAATGGGTTGACAAAATCTATGAACTCATGGATGCCGTCGACAACTACATCCCTATCCCGCAGCGCCAGACTGATCTCCCCTTCCTCCTTGCCGTTGAAGATGTGTTCTCTATAACTGGTCGTGGTACCGTTGCCACTGGCCGTATTGAAAGGGGGTCCATTAAGATTGGTGACACTGTCGACATTGTTGGCCTCAAGGACACTCGAAATACCACTGTCACCAGTGTTGAGATGTTCCAGAAGATCCTTGACGAGGCCTATGCTGGAGAGAATGTCGGTCTTCTTCTTCGTGGTGTTCAGAAGGCTGATATTCAGAGAGGAATGGTCCTTGCCAAGCCTGGCACTATTACCCCCCATACCAAGTTCCTTGCCATTGTTTATGTACTCAAGAAGGACGAAGGTGGCAGACACTCTCCTTTTTTTGCTGGATATAAACCTCAGTTCTACATGAGGACTACCGATGTCACCGGGAAGGTTGCATCCATTATGAATGACAAGGATGAGGAATCGAAAATGGTTATGCCAGGCGATCGTGTGAAGATGGTGGTTGAGCTTATTATGCCCGTGGCTTGTGAGCAAGGAATGCGATTTGCCATCAGAGAAGGAGGGAAAACTGTTGGTGCAGGTGTCATCCAGTCCATCATAGAATGATACAGTTAGTTTCTTCTAAAAATTTTTGGCACGGAAGCAAATGATCCCTCACTGTTAGAATTTTGGGACTTGAATCATCAACTATGTGCAGTAAATGAGACTGGGTTTGCATCCAGCGATGATTTTAGTGTCTTATAGCTTTGCAATTTTGCTTTTCTGCTCTTAATTGTTATTTTAGTTTAGTTAGATTAATGGACATGCTATGAGTCTCTGTAATTCTCATTTTCTGTTGCTTCAAGTGTTGTTGATAGTTGAAACTATTGTAATACTTTTGCTAAATGAGTTGGTACCCAATGGAGGGAAAGCCAGTTTCTTTCTTTCTTGAATTCATCCATTTTTGCTAATTTGTTGGTGTTACTTTCCTATCTATGTTTCACTCGAAAAATAAGACCGGTTTTAGTTGGCTGCAATGGGGGTAATCCTTGTCTGCTATTATCACTTTTATCATCTTGTCACGTGCGTGTTGAAGCTGTGCAGGAATTCATCTTTGAAATATTCATCCTGACTCTGGAACAGACTGCAATAGAACTTCTATGCCCAAGAACAGCACTGGCCAGGGCTGATCCGAAAAACAAGAGCAGCACCAATCAGGTGTTTTCTTTTCGTTTTTCTTTTTTCGATTGAATGTACTAGATCTAACAAGGGAAAGAGCCCTGATGGTTTAGTTCTGATATAGAAAGGAATCTTCTGAAAATCATGCCTTGTTGGTCTTTTTGCAAATCGGATTATAAAAAGGCAAAAGAGCAGTTCTTCAAGGCTTTAAGATCTTTCTCGTGATCAAAGGCATAAAGCATAGCCAATTGCATTCCTTAATGGTGTACTGTTTTGCAATTTTATTTGTCGGCAAGTTAAGGTCCTTGAGAACGGATAATTAATATTTTGGAGATTTGCCTGTATGTTAAGATTTGTATTCTTTCATTCTTAAGATTCAATCCATAGGTATCTAAATGAGGTTTATTTGGAAAAGGGTGGACGTCTAGAGTTTGCATTATAGACCAGAAGGCCTTTTCTTTGTATATTTTAATGTTGCTAATTCTTATGTTTTGAAGTATGCTTTTTTTTTTTTTGGGAAATTGTCTAAAACTCACCATGAGTTTTCAGCATTTCTCTTAAACTCACCACAACTTTTCAAAATGTCTAAAACTCACCATGTCAGTAAGTTTTTATTTTCCAAAACTCACCTTCCGTTAGTACACCGTTAATGTTTTTTAACAGAGGTGTCCATGTCAGCATAAATAACAATTTTTATGACCAAATCACCCTTGCATGGTAAGTTAGAGGAAAAGGGTCTTTTTCATTTTTCAATTTTTTTTTTTACATTTTAGTGTTTTTTATAATTTATGGTTTTTTACATTTTTCTATTTTCTACAATCTATAAATTTTCTGTATTTTTTTATTTATTTGCAACTTCTGTGCTTTTCTATAATTTTTGGTGTTTTTTCTTCAATTTTTGTTTTCTTATTTTGTTTTTCAATTTCTATAGTTTCTATAATTTGAAAATAATTTTTTACTTTGTGTGCAATTTCTATATTTTTTATATTTTTTCCAATTTCTGTGTTTTATGTATTTTATATTTGAAAATATTTTTTGAACTTTTTCCTTTTTTTCATATGTAAATATTAAAATATATGTATATTTTTTATATTTTTCTATGAAGGTTAAAATGGTAATATATTAACAGCTGTTAGTCTCTTTAACGTCAAGTTAGTGACATGGTGAGTTTTAGACATTTTGAAAAGTTGTGGTGAGTTTAAGAGAGATGCTGAAAAATCATGGTGAGTTTTTGACATCCCCCCCCCCTCCCTTTTTTTTTTTAACTTCAAGTTTTAAAATGACTGAAAGTTGCCCTCGCTTTTTGTCACTAAATGTATTATGAGAAGGTTGCAGGTTGACCTGTTATAATGGTTTTGACCATCTGATTACGAGTTGAAGGGGCTAGAAGACCAAAAAGGACATGGGTAGAAGTAGTTAAAAATGATTTAACCACTAATAATTTAACAGTTGATATGGCTTTAAATAGAATGGATTGGAAAAACGGGATTCATGATGATGATGCCTCCTTCAGATTGAACACGACTTGCAAGTTGGAATTGCCCTGTTTTATATTACTTTTGAGAACTGTGAGAAGTGAAAACCAGATGGCCTTAGTTCCTAAAACCAGACGGCCATTTAGCAGCTGAATCGGCTAAAAAACTGAACTAAATGACTTGTTGATTTGCCATTTGGTGAATAAGTTATTATCGGAGGTATTGAGCTCTTTAATAGCTGAAGCTGAAGTTGGGTTGACTACCATTCTCTCAAATATTTTATTGTTTAATTATTTTGTTAGTTTATCCACTAAAAGAGGAAACAATTCAGCCACTTAGCAAATGGCCCCTCATACAATTATAGCTTGATGCAAATTACATTTGTCTTCTTTCATAAGTCATAACTTGAACTTTCAAATTTCAAATCAGTTAAGTGCCATTACCTGTGTAAAGAGGTGGTTACTGAACACTCTTTTTAGAGTTTTAGTTCATTTCTCAGTGGCAATCACACCCTTGGTATCTAGCTGTTGCTTATGAGTGAGACTACAGTTGGACTAACAAGCTCTATCCAATTGCCTTTCTCTTTAGAGAACTAAGTTGGTTATGGTTTCCAAGTGCATGCCATTGCGGGTTTTTACTACTGGTGTTTCCTGGTTTATTAGACTAGGGAGTAAAATAATGAAGTTGGTAGAGTAGTTCTCACAGTGGTGCCTGCTGTGCTTCTGAGGAAGAAAAGGAGACCAAAGCTAAGGAGGGCTGATTGGCTATCTCACCATTTGACATTGATGTTGTTATCTTTCTCTTCACCAATAAGGTATTTGTGTTATTTTGATTTAAAAAAAAATATATGTTATGTATGTCATTTTTATTTATTTTTGTGAGCATTATTTGATTGGTGACCAGAATGTTATTACAACATATGCTAATTGCTAATCACTCCCTTTTTACTAGCCCTAGCTTCCTAACCCATTCACAACCATTCAATTACATATAACCATCATAGGGGATGACCCCACAAAACACTCTTCTATTGATCCTGTGCGCAACTAGTGCATTGGCTAGACTATTGGCTGATTGTTAGGTCCATGTGAATGTTGCCTGCAACTCTCCAGCCAACTCTAGTGTTTCTCTCACTTTATGCCTGTGAATCCAAGAACCATATCTATTATTTTCTCTTTTTATTTTTGTGAGGATTACTTTTTAATCAATAAATTAATTTTATTAAAGATTGAAATGAGGATGAGAAAAGGATTAAAGCAGCCAAAAACATGAGCACAACATGGGAAGCACCAAAAGACAAAGAAAAGAGTAAGGAAGCTGTGATAGAGGTTATGACTCTAAGGGTGGCACATTGGGCTAAAACTTTGAAACTCTTTACAGACTTTAAGGTTGAAGTTTTCTTCAGCTTGTGGGAAATAATTGCTGTTTCATTTTCCAGAAGACAAAAAGTTTACGAGGATTGGTCATTTCCAAGTGTTGGGTGGAAGAAATTGAATTTTGATGATAGCTGTATGGGCAATCCTGGCCCCTCGGGCATTGGAGGGGTAATTAGGGATGAGTGAGGAAACATTTTGGCCTTGTATTCTGGCTCAATTTGGCAAGGTGATGTGGTCAGATCAGAACTATTAACAGCAGTTTATGGGGTAGAGAAAGCTAAAGAAATGGGGATTGAGAGGTTGGTCATTTGAAGGTGGCTCGGAAACAGTTTTGGGTTGGCTGAACTGAAAAAGGGAAGGGGTAACTTGGCAATTAAGGAATGAGTTCAGGCCCTTCAAATGGCTATCTAAAGATATGATGATCCAAATAAATTGGGTTAGGAGATCTGCGAACAGTATGACTGACGGTTTAGCTACGCAAGGATTCACAGAGAAACTATGTTTTGGGCTTATTTGTAATACTTGGGATGGTTTAGCTCCTTTGGGCTTGTTGTTTCTTTTCACAACTTCTTGTTGTATCTCTCTTTTTCTAATTTAATGAATTAATCTTTGTGTTTCTGATAAAAAAAGCACCAAAAGGCAAAGGAATAATGGAATATTTCAACCTCAAGCCTATTACTGAAGCAGTAGTGACCAATACCCATTCTGAGATGCACAATGCTAGAACAGATATCATCCCGAAATATTAGCAGCCTAGCACAAAAGCAGTCCTCAACAGTCCTCCCCTGGTGAGATTATCTGCAATAGAATTAGCAGATCTTGTGTTCCATATAAATGACATTATTCAAATTGCAAGTTAAAGTGCTTGAAGGGCTGTCTGGACCACCTTGCATACCCTTAGAAAATTGAAATTCGGAACATAAAATAAATGATAAATTTCTTCAGAATTTGAAGGAAAAAGGATTGGATTCTCATACTTCCAGAATTTGAAGGAGTTTCAAAGGAAGATGTTGGCATTGGATTGTGGTCTCTATTTGAATTAGAGTCAAGAAACTAGTTCTTGTTTTTTTGGATGTTTTTCTTGAAGATGTGTGTGGTGATCGTTCATCGCTCTAGCTGATGTACTTCTTTCTTTTATTAACAAAATTTTCTTTTTATTTATTACCAAAAAATACATTTCTTAAGCTTCATTTATGAAATTTAATATCATGTCTGTGGCTTGTTACCAAGAGTTGCAGTTCACCATCAGAGGTGGGAGGTATTGGTTCAGGTGTTAGCCTGCCCATTGTTCAATGATACAATCTGCTTCTTCTTTGAATGCACATTACAAAATGGGTGCAGTTTCTACAGCTAGCATATTTTTTTAGTTTCAATTTCATGCCAGACACTTTGTCCATGTTGTGCCTTTGCTGCATCTATGTGACATGGCTTCTGGATAATAAAAATCCTTGGGGTGGAAGAAATGGTCCCTGACATGGGATTCTGAAAGAGCTAGGGGCTTGCTGAGAAAGGAAATAGATTGGGGCAATGAGATCAGTGCAATATTCAATTATAATAAATGGGTCTGCTAGAGTGTTTTTTTCCCCGCTAAGAGAGGGTTGAGACAGGGTGACCCCCTTTCCCCTTTTCTGTTCACTTTAATGGCTGAGGTTCTTAGCAGAATGATTACCAAGGCTGATTTGGATCATTCAATAAGAGGGTGTTGAGTGGGGAGGGAGGAGGTGGTACTTACACACTTTTTTTTTTTTTGATCAATAAATGGTACTTACACACTTGCAGTTTGCAAATGACATAATACCGTTTTGTGATTATTCTCACAATCTCACCCCTTATCCCCTTGCCTTTCTTGAGATGCATACCTTGTTCCATTTAGCTAAGTGGAATTTAAACCTTTTGTTTTTTTTATCAGTAAAACTTTGATTATATT